CGGACCGCGAGATCGTGACCTGGCTGAAGTCGGACGCTTAACCGACTGCGCCACCCAGGCGCCCCCACAAGGGTTCCCCTTGTAGCTGGAGTGGGAAGGTAGAAGGGGTGAGATTAGGGAGGCAGCAGGGACAGACCACGGATGCCTTCATGGCCAGGATGAGGTAATCCTGTGATATCCACCTGCCATGTAGACCCAATAAAATAAGAAGCTGAATGAAACACGTATCACAGACATGAGGTAATACTTCCATCAAAGCAAAGATGAGCCTCTGCTGGAAAACAGCTCCAAGTGGAACCCCACCACACTGCCCCACTCCAAGCACGGAAGCCAAGACTGAAACTTCCCCACCACATCAGCCTTCTCCGAGGCTCCCTCCCCCAAGCAGCCGTTAGCTCCAGGGCTCGGGTGGGGATGTGCACAGAGTACTCTGGTTAACAGGACACTGGACACACAGTGAGGCCTGGAACACATCCCCCGCTCAGATGTCTGCTCCAAGACAAATCACTTCCTCCCCCTGAGTCTCAAGTTTCCAATCTATAGAATGAGGAGTTCAGATTAAATTAGCCCTACCATCCCAGGATTGAATTTCCCTCTGGCAAACAACCAGGACAGAAAGGGACAGAGATGGGGCCTAAATGGCCCTCCATCTTCCTGCTGTGCCTCACCCAGCTGCTCCCCCCAACACAGGCCTTGAATCTCCTGCTACTCCCCCCAGGGAGACGGGGCTGCCCCTCATGGTTCCACCTGCCCAGGAGCAAAATGTCACAGACCTGAAGGGTCCAAGGAGTAGAGACGTGCAGCAGGAAGAAAACAGCAGAGGCAAGAGGGGGAAAAAAACCCTCAGGGGAAAAAAAAATCTACTGTGAAATGCACAGTGAGAGGTACACACGAAAATGACAGAGGTGAGACATTTGAAAGCAGAGTGAGACAGTGAGGACTGAGCAAGGATAGGATTGCAGCTTTATTTATAATGTTTTTACTGTTTTACAGGGACACGTAGGTACATAGACTTGTGTGACTAATCAGTATTGTGAAGGAAGGAAGGAAGGAAGGAAGGAAGGAAGGAAGGAAGGAAAGAAAAAGAAAGAAAGAAAGAAAGAAAGAAAGAAAGACAGAAAGAAAGAAAGAAAAGGAAGGGAGGGAATAGAGGAGGGAAGGAATAGAGGGAGGGAGGGAGAAGCGAAAAGGAAGGAAGGGAGGGACAGAGGAAAGGAAAAGGAAAAGGAAAAAAAAAAGAAAAGAAAGAAAAAAAAAAGCAAAGAAAAGAATTGACTCTGGGGTAGAGGAACTTAGAACACAGGAACTAGATTAGAACCATCTCCAAAGGGTAAGTGCTGCCAATCAATGACCATATATCACCAACAGCAGTCATTCCACTAAGCCTCGAGACTTAGACTAAGACTAAGGGAAAGGAATGGGGCCATCACCGCCTTCTACAGATGGGGGCACCGAGTGAGGAGCACGAGGTAAAGCAACTCACAGTCACTCCTTCATTGAGAAAATATTTTCCTGCCACCTGCTCACACTATGTGCCAGCTTCTGCGCTGAGTGTTGTGTATAAACTGGTGGATAAAAGAAACCTATTACGTTTTTGCTGCTGACAGTGAAACCAGACTCCATAAAAGTTCTTGTAGCAGGAAAAACAATTGTAACTGTGCACTAATTGTGGTGATCGTTTCCCGATATATACAAATACCAAATCATTCTGTGGTACACCCGAAACTAACATAATATCATATGTCAGTTACATCTTAATTTAAAAAATAATACACGGTAGAGCCCAAGTGCTAACCGCCATACCCCACTGTTGGCCCACAGGACACGCGCTGCTTCCTCAGACCCAGCAAGATCCGCGGGATGCCACCATCCTGGGGGCAGGCCCACTCTCAGCAGGGATGGCCACATGTGGCTGAGGCGAAGCTAGACCCTCGAGGCACCATCACACCACCCCCTCCCAGCCCCACCACCCCAGCCTGGAGAGAGATGCTCCTTACTTGGGGCTCTCTAGACCTTTGGACGGCAATAAGGTCAGCACCAGAGAGGACTTCTCAATGGCTGAGCAGGAGGCCACCATGTTCAGCTGGGGGATGAACTTGACCTGCTGGCACCAGTTGGGATGAAGAGCCTAGAAAGAGAGTGGCAGTGGTAAGGGCTGGAAGGGCCAGGAAGTCACCACGTCTAATACCCTCTAGTGATCACAGCTCTGACACAGCAACATGGCCCCAGGATACCAGCCTAGTCCTGTGGCATCACTTGGTCAGTGAGACAGGTGAAAAGCACCCAAATTTATAAGTTAGAGGACAGGCAAGGTCAGGCCCATGTGACATCACTGTCACCGCATCCCACGCAGGAGAGAGAACGGATTGGAGTCAGCCAAGCCCTCAGTCCCTCTTATCCACAGGGAGCCTTGGATGCTTCCCCATGGGAATGCTATCTGGTGCAAGTTAGGCAACGAAAGGCTGAGACCCACAATCCAGGGGCAGCCTTGATGGCACAGGCTCAGAATTCTCTAGCTTTGGCTCTGCGGGTCAGCCCTGTGCTTGGCCTCCGCATTGGGGACCTCCCTCTTCAGGACAACATGGAGGGGGTTGCGGGCACTGGGCTAGGTTTTGCATATGCTGCCTCACTGAGCATCTATCATGGCGAAGGTGCCAAATCCAGGGCACCAGACAGAATGTGGGACACTCAGCAACAGGGACAGAAAACCAAGCCCAAGATGAGATTCCCACAGAAGACAGAAAAGACAGTATTTGTGGGTGACTCTCCCTGATAGGGTCCCAGGGCCTGAGGGATCCAACCTGCCAGAAAAGAAGCATTTAGGAGCCTGGGACCACACAACTCAGTCTGCCCCTAGTGTCAGATTCATTCATTCATTCGTTTGTTTATCTGTTCAACAAATGTACTGGGAGCCCACTAAGGCCCAGCCCTTTTAGGCACTGGAGACAGGACAACAGGCCAAGTGCCTGTCCTTAGGAGCTGTCAATCCTGAGAGGGTAACAGGATGAGAAACGAATGGGTGGACAATACAAAGTTGGAAGGTGATAAGCTGTGATACCGTGATTTGTAATAAATATGTATTTGGGGGCATCTGGGTGGCTCAGTCGGTTAAGCATCCGACTACAGTCATGATCTCACTGTTCGTGAGTTTGAGCCCCGCATTGGGTGAGCTCAAGCCCTGCTCCGGCTCCACACTCTCTCTCCCTCTCCCTCTGCACCTCATGGGATTCTTTCTCCCTCTCTCTGCCCCTCAATTGCATGCTCTCTCTCAAAAATAAATAAATTTAAAAAAAAATTTTTTTTAACGTTTATTTATTTTTGAGACAGAGAGAGACAGAGCATGAACGGGGGAGGGTCAGAGAGAGGGAGACACAGAATCTGAAACAGGCTCCAGGCTCTGAGCTGTCAGCACAGAGCCCGACGCGGGGCTCGAACTCACGGGCCGCGAGATCATGACCTGAGCTGAAGTCGGCCGCTCAACCGACTGAGCCACCCAGGTGCCCCTAAATTTTTTAAAAAAAGAAGTATATATTTGGTCTTCATGCCCATTTCTGGCACAGAACTCCTAAATCCCTCAGAACTTCCTAAGTGGTAAGAAAGTGTTCCTACTCATAACAAACCCGTGTCAACCACACTTGAGTTTACATTAATGAGATGACTTTTGGAAAGCCCTTGGGGATGGGGACTGGTTGCCAGGGAAACCAAGCAGGAGCCGGGAGGGTTGGAACTTTCAGCCCCACCCCCCTGGCCCCTGGGGAGAGGAGAGGAGCTGGAGGATGAATTGGTCGTCAGTGGCAATGATGTGATCAATCATACCTATGTGATTAAACTCCAAAAAAACCCCAAAAGGACAGGGCTCAGAGAGCTTCTGGGCTGGTGAACATGTGGAGGTGTGGGGTGAGGCTTGTGCCCAGAGATGGCAGAGAAGCCCCAGGCCCCCGTTCCCCACACCTTGCCCTCCGCATCTCTTCAATCTCGCTATTCCTAAGTTGTATCCTTTTCTAATAAAGCGGTGCTGTAGTAAGTAAAATGTCTCTCCAAGTCCCGTGAGCCACTCTAGCCATTTAATCAAACCCAGAGAGTGAAGGGAAGCTCTGATTTATAACCAGCGGGTCAGAAACACAGGTGACAACCTGAGCTTGTAAGTGGCCTCTGAAGTGGAGGGCAGTCTCGTGGGACTGACCCTTAACCTGTAGGGTCTGACGCTATCTCCAGGTAGAGAACTGTAGGCCACTCAGCTGAGGTCTGAGAATTGCATGGTGGTTTGGGAAAAACACATTGCAGTTGGTGTCAGAATCGTATCAATGCTGCAGCAGGAAGGGCCAAGGGCAGAGGCAGGCAGCAGGGCTGTTCCAGGCTGGCCGGTTAGGGCCCTGGAGGGAGAAGAGAAAGGAGCAAACAGGGACCGAAGGGAGAACCCAGCAGCCTGAGGGATAGAGCGTGGCAAGGCCCTGAGGCGGGAAAAGGCTTGGCGTGTTCAGAGAACAGCAGGATTGCCTGTGTCTCTGCGGCTGAGTAAATGGGAAAAAGAAAGGTAGAAAGCGAGATGGGGGGCAGGCAGGGGCCAGGTCACCTTGTGTCCTGATGGTCATGGTAAGCACTTGAGATTCTGTTTGAACGTGATGAGAAGCGATGGGGGATTATTTTTTTAATGTTTTTTTTTTAAACTTTTTAAATGTTTTCTTATTTATTTTTGAGAGAGAGAGAGAAAGGGACAGAGCGCAAGCAGGGGAGGGGGCAGAGAGAGAGAGGGAGACACAGAATCTGAAGCAGGCTCCAGGCTCTGAGCGGTCAGCACAGAGCCTGACGCAGGGCTCGAACTCACATACCGAGAGATCGTGACCTGAGCCGAAGTCGGACGCTTAACCTAGGCGCCTACTGGGGGATTTTGAGCAAAGGAGTGACATGGCTGGTTCTAGCTCATAATTCCTCTGGCTGCTGAATGGAGTAAAGCACTGCATGGAGAAAGGAAGGTGGAAACAGCTAGAAGCCACTGCAGCCATCCAGGAGAGAGGCGGTATCCGCCGGGACCAGGCTTGAGCACTGGAGGTGGTGAGAGAGACGAGCCACCCCCGGGATATCTACGTTCTCTGATCAGAGAGCTGCAGGACCCGACAGCTGCCTTCATCCTCCCAGTGATCAAGCCTCAAGGCTTAAGACCGAACCCAGCGGGCGAATCCACTTTTGAGTGGCTCATGGGTACAGATAATCACCATGGTAACGGGCCGAGGAAAGCGATGACTTACTTTCAGCCAGTAACTTCTATACAAAGGGGACTTTTCATTTAGGAGCTTCCGTGCGGAAACGTTGGTCCAGTGATCTGGTAGGAGAGAAAACCGAGGTCCACATCACCAGCTCCCCACCTTGCCAGACCAGCAAAAACCCCAGTGGACACCTCGAGTTGGTTTGCCACTCCTGTATGTCTCAAAACTTTTCCATCCAAATGCTCATTCCAGCCTTACTGTGTCCTGGTGAGTTCAGTGGGATGAACTTGACACAGAACACAGACACAGGTAACAACACAGGTAACAACACAGGTAACACTGTTGCCCAGAGCCCTATGCCAGGGCTCACAGAGCTGGCTCCACATCTCGGGCCTTCTCCCTCTCCCCACATGCTGCAATCTAAATGAGGTGATTCTCTCTCTCTCTTTTTTTTTTTTTTTTTTTTAGTTTTTATATATTCATTTATGTTTTAAAGTTTATTTTGAGAGAGAGAGAGAATGCGCAAGTGAGGGAGGGGCAGAGAGAGACGGAAGGGGAGAATCCCAAGCAGGCTCCATGCTATCAGCATGGAGCCTGATGAGGGCCCAATCTCATGAACTGAACTGTGAGATCATGACCTGAGCCGAAATCAAGAGTCGGATGTTCAACCGACTGAGCCGCAGCAGGCGGCCCCCAAGGTGATTCTCATTTAGGGAGCTTCAAGTCTGCTGGAGTGGAGAACAAATTGAGACCCTAGGCTCTATTCATTCTGAAAAGGATCACTTGGAAGTCTACCATCATGCTTCGAACTACATGCCCCGCCTTGTCTTGCAAACACAAGTTCCAAGGGGGGCACCCAGCAAGTGTGCCTGGAGCAATCACACTGAGCACAGCCTGGCCCTCATGGTGGCGTTCAGGGTCTCCTGGCCCCCGCAACCTCCCACGTCCAGCCGGCGGCCTGGGAGCCTCCAAGGAAAGGCCCCGGGTGCAGGCAGATGGGGCTAGCGGTGATGGGACAAGCACGGGTCTCCCTGTAGAGCAGGCTTTAAGGAGGTGGGTCCCAAAGACTGGGACAATCTGGGCTCAAGTCTGAGAGAAACTCCCAGGTAAAAGGCAGAAAAGAGAAGGGGACCTGGCGGCTTATGCCAAGCATTTTATGCTGCAAAGTCACCAGCCCCATCTTGCAAGGGCAGGAGGAAGCTTGAAAAGGAAGTCCCAAGGGGTGGAGTGTTGCAGAAGTGGGGCAGGCACGGGAAGGCGGAAGCTTAGCCAGGGGCCTCACTTCTCGTGTCTGCCTCGACCACGAGGCTGGGAGAGCCCCGGGAGGTCAGGGGAGGGAGTCCCCCTGTCCTTACTGTGCACCTCACCCCATATGCCCTCCTCCCACCTTATAGAAAAGCCATGAATTGAGTATGCTCATCCCTGTTTTAAAGGGAACTGAGGTACAGAGAGGTCAAGCAACTGGTTCCAGCTCACACAGAGCTGGTCTGTCCAACTCCTCCCAAGTCAACACACGGGTGAGCCCACCTTCATGTTCCTCCCCAGCCTTCAGGCAGCGTGTGGCATGGAAGGACTCCTATCCTACACTCCGGCTTCATCCGTACCCACGCCGATCTCCCATCTAGCACAGCTCAACGACTACCACAACTTCCCATGCCATTTCCCAGGGTGCCACAGCGTGACCGCGGCTGGGCAGGGCAGGCACCAGGAGTAGAGGCTGATGAGGCAAGGATATAGGAGGGTGCCAGCCCACTGCTGTATCCAGGGTGGGATCTATCTTCCATCCGGCCAGTGGGGGGGAGTGGGTCACCAAGGCCGGGGAGCCCTTGCAGGGTGTCCGGCTCAGAAACTCTGACTGGAAGCCCTAGGGACTGCTCTGGTGTCCTGGATGGAAGGGGAGTCAGTGTCCCCATGGGCTGGGGCCCCTGGTGGCCCGGGGCCTCCTCTAGATGGGTATGAAGCAGCCTGGAGGCCTGACACCACACTCCAAGGGCTCGATCCTGGACAGGGTCCAGTTCAGGCGCGTCTCTGATAGTCCCAGGCCCCAGAGCCTTGGGCCCTAGTGCCCCTGGCAGAACAGCCCTGAACAGCGTCCTTCAGTGTTTAGTGAGTTTAGGGTATAGCCCAGCAAGGGGTTAAGGTGCAGACTCGGCCAGACTGCCTGCTTCGGGACACTTACCCTGTGGGGCCTACACAAGTGCTTCACCCCCTGAACCTCCATTCCTCCTCTCTTCATGGGCTGTAACAGCAGCAGCTCCCTGCTGGCCATGGGCAGGGGGAGGGCCGTAGGAGGCGACGTGCCCAAACCACTCGGCACGCAAATGCACAGTGTCACTGTGCTTATTTAGGTTCATGGCCATGCTGAGCCAGGCTTTCCCCCAGGCCCCACTGAGCCCACCCCCAGGGCAGCCCTCCTGCCCCACCCCCACCCCCCCACCAAAAGCGGCTCCCAGCTGAGAGCAGAACCCTCCTCACGACCTTGGAGAAGGTTACTGCTGGCATCCCAAGACCCGGAAGGGGTGAGTGACTTCCACAGGGTCACACAGCTGGCACAGGTTGGTCCTTGCTGGGATGAGGGGGGTCCGGAAGCCTCTCCCCTCCACCTTCACCTGTGCAACCTCCCACCTTCAGAGAGATTGCCCCACTTCTCAGCCCCCTCTGGCTGTTGCGGTCACCTCCTCACCCCACGTCCCACGGGCCACTCGGAGCTGAGCCTACGGGTGTACTCCTCAGCTGAGCTGAAGTAGCCCGAGGCTCCTGAGCTGGGAGGAAGGGTCATCTCCCCACCCGCACATTCCCTAGCATCTTAGCTACCCCATTTGGAGGTCCTGGGGAGGATTCGGGGGTTGAACAGCCCGTGGGTCACATTGCTGGAGGTGAAGACGATGACATTGCCTTTGGTGTCCCCATAGCAGAACACACCTCTGTGACAGTCAGACCTGAGGAAGGTGGAGACAGAAGAGGCGGGGCTGGGCACAGGGCTGCAAGCCTCCACCTTCCCGGCCCCCATCAGCCTCCCTGCACCTGGGAGCGAGGGGCAGTTTCCCACACGACTTGCCAGCTTTGCCCTCAATGGCTGACAAACATGGGCCCAGCCGCCCAGACCCAGATCACCGGTGAACTGGGGCCAAAAGAAATCAGTAATTTTTTTGAACGCTAAAACAAACAAATTCCTGGTCCTCCAGCTGCTTGTTACCAGCTCACCCTCCTGCGGATGGACCACGGCATTCCCAGAGCCCTCAGTCACGGCGGGACAAGCCCCTGCCGGGTTTCGATGGCTGACTTGGTCGGGCAGTGGGAGGAAGAGGGGCAGACGACTGAGTAACCCCCAAGGCAGGGCAGCTTGGCGAGGAGGACACAGGCACATAGGGTGGGAATCATTCCGGGGCTGTTTCCAGAGAGGCTTTCTGGGAGTCCCAACCGCACCGAGTGATGCGGCTCCTGCCAAGACTGCACCTGTCTCCCCCCGAGACTCACCAGTAGTCTATGGTCAGGACACAACTGTCCAGATCAGTGAAGGTGAAGGCCCGGGCACAGTTGTGGTTGCTGATATCAAAGAACTCTGGGGGAGAGACGGAGGGGGAGGGCATGCATGGAGCCCAGGCCCACATCCCAGGCCTCGGGGGCCTCTGGGGACAACACGCAGCCTCTGCTTACCAGCCTACAGCACCCCCAGAGGGCTCTAACCCACGCCCACAGTTGGCCCGGTGACGGGTCCCCAAGCGCAGACGCATGCCTTCCAACGGCTGACGGCAGGCCTGGGGCGCCGTCAGGGACTCACCTATCTTCTGGTCGGTAGATGCAATCGCTATCAGGTTCATGTTGTGGAGACAGACCATGTCGATGACCCACATCTGCTGGTGGTGGGGCTGCTGGATCTGGTTAAGCTGGCCAGGGGAAGAGCAGAAGCGACCGAGCTGGGGAGGCTTGCCTGGCAGAGCGCACCAAGGTGCAGGGTCCCATGAACCCTCTCCCACCACCCGAGGCCCTGGAGGGGGCAGCAGAGCTGGTTTGGAGCCCAGCACTCCTACCAACTGCTGATAGGGCTTTGGACAAGTTCCCTAGCCCGAGCCTCAGTTTCCACATCTGTGAAATGGGCTTAAAGAACACCCATCCTCACAACCCCTTTCTAGAGCCACTTGACAAGCTTCCTCAGAGTTTTAACTGTGCATGACTCGTGATCCTGGGATCTATTTCCAGGACACATCTGCAGATGTGTTCACACATACTCACAGAGAAGTGTGTGTGAGGGCAGGCCCCGCCACACCGCTGTGATAGCAACAGGCCACAGACCACTTGGAAAGGAGAGCGGATACAAATCCACACCACAGGACACCACCCAGACATTACAAAGAAGGGGACTGTGCACATGCCATACAGAAGAGTGTCCAGGATCCATTATCAAATGAAAAGGCAAGGTGGAAAGCAGCACTATCATGTGTTACCATGCGTATATTTAAAGAGGGGTGCGGAGGGTGTGTGTACAGGCTAACCGTGAAGAGTGCCCCAAAACTGGTCACAGCGGTTGCCTCCAGGAGAGAATTCGGGTGTGGGAGAGGGAGAATGACTTTCCACTGACTGCCCCTCTGCAGGTCTGGCTCTGTCCCCCACCCCAGTTTTTTTTATTAAAAAACATTTTTTTTTAATGTTTTTATTTATTTTTGCGACAGAGAGAGACAGAGCATGAGCAGGGGAGGGGCAGAGAGAGAGGGAGACACAGAATCAGAAGCAGGCTCCAGGCTCTGAGCTGTCAGCACAGAGCCTGATGTGGGGCTCGAACCCACAGACTGTGAGATCATGACCTGAGCCGAAGTCGGACGCTTAACCGACTGAGCCACCCAGGCGCCCCATCCCACACCAGTTTTATTGAGATATAACGAACATGTGACATGGTATTAGTTGTTGCTTGTTTGTTCTGTCTGCACTTTGTTTACCATCTGCAGATGTCCCCCGGCTCAAGTGGCTTATTGACAAGAAATCACCCAGCCGGGCTGTGAGGTGCCAGCCTCACGTAACACTCATGCAGACGGAATTCGAGCGAGCCCTCGAGGTACGGGACACCACACACAAAGTCATGTCCGCAGAAAGGGGCTTTGGTGTCCAGAGAAAAGAGGAGGCCGGCCTGACAGGCTCAGGGTCAGGGAGGATGAGAGATGAGTTAGGGGTGGTCAGCTAAGGCATTTGTAGTTTACTCCCTGTAAGAAGGCCACAAACTCTGGACTGGAGAAAGCAGACAGCAGTACAGACTGAAACAGAAGGGAGGGCGGAGGATTAAGGCAGCTCCTCTAGGTGGCTGTGCAGAAGGGATGGCGAAGGCAGGGGCAAGAAGTGGACTGTCCCATCACAACTCAGAGACACCAAGAACAGAGAGGTCCCTGCTGGCGGCTGGGCAGTGAGGACAGGGGGCCAGGCCCCCTGGGGCCTCTAACCCACACACAACAGATGGTACGCCCATCACCTCCACGTGCCTTGGAGAAACCCCGAGCCCTAGGGAGTTCCAGTGACTTGCCCAAGGTCGAACAGCTGGGAAGTAAAGCCCAGCCCCCCTCCCACCCCAAACTCCAGGGCTTTCCATCTGCATGACCATGGATGGCATGCAGTGGGTTTCACGGATGGTGCTTAGTGGATCACTCTTGCCAACATCTACTTTCCCGAGCAGCCCCTCAAAGAGGAATGCTGGGCCTTCCGGGGAGCCTCCCTCTGCCCTCCTCATCCCTCCCAGACTTGGCCTCTGAAGGATGCTGAGGTGACCGAGTAGCAGCCACAACCAGGAGCTCAGGCTATAATGTGCCCTCTTACACACAACAAAATAAACACACAGAGAAAAAGGATGGAAGGTGCCAGAAATCCCAGCCTCAGGAACTCGGGTGTGAGTCACCCCTGGTCCTGAGCTACCAAGTACTCAAGAGTCACTTGACCTCCACAGACCTCAGCTGCCTCCAGAACCCTCCAGCCCCAAGGGATGACCCCTGAGGCAACTGTGAAACACTCTGCTCTGCTGCCGGCAACGTTCTCAGTAAGCCTTTCTTCTCTGGAGAGCTGCGCCTTCCTCATTTGCTGGAGGATTCTGGACTGGCCTGGCAACACTACGTACACAGCCAGCTTTCCTGAGTGTTTTCTCACTCGCTGCACTCAACCAGGAGCTGACAGCACAGAGACAATGATGAGGTCATCTTGTATTTGTCGGCACTTGCTGTGTGCCTTGCCCTACTCTGAGGACCGTATGTGTATTAAGTCATTAAATCCTCCCAGCAGCCTGAGGGGGTTAACTGTGACCCCACTTGACAGATGAGGAAACTGAGGCACAGGGAGCTATCTACGAAGTGTCCACGGTCACAGAGCTGGAAGGTGGTACAGTCAGGTTCTAAGTTGGACTCCAGAGCCCACACAACCACTGCGATTTCCTGCCTGGTCCAGGTAAAGGATTTGCGTGACAGAGGGGACATGACAGGGAAAGGAAAGGTAGCAGACTGCTAACACGGAAACCTTGGTAGATAGCAACACCATTCACTGAGATGAGGCACAGAAGTAAGCCTGGTGGCCAGGGAGAGCTACAGTGACATTCTATTTGGACAGACTGGGTGTGAGGTGTCTGTCTGTTGGACATCCAAGTCGAATGGACATCCAGATGCAGTCCTGCTTACAGAAGTGAAATGCGAGGGTCGCAGTCCCACGTGAAGCAGAGCCTGGCCCCAGGAGCAGTGACTCCACGTGCAGGCTGCTTAGACTGTGAACCCCCAAATGAGCCCACTCAGGGCCCAGGTCACCTTCATTATTGGGGTACAAAGGCAAAGGCTCTCCGACCACCCTGTGTGTGCTCCACGTGTGGGTCCCCCTCACCTTAAAGGAGTTAATCAGCGAGAAGGTCTCAGACCAGATCTGCAAGATCCCGTCCTTGGTGACAGTCAGGAGATGCCCAATCTTCTTGAACTGCTGGATTAAAATCTGCACCTTCACAATCTCACATCCATGGCTCCTGTGGAAGGTGACAGGACAGAGAAGGACCCAAACAAAAACAGAATGAAAAGCACAGAGGGGGAAGGGCAAAGCAAGACACAGACACACACACACACATACACACACACCACCACCACCACCACCACCACCACCACCAAGAAACTCAAGCTGGCTCCTCCAGAGGTGGGGCTCTGCTGGGCGGGCTTCTACCATTATCAGCCATGACCGAAAGAAAATGACCCGAGTAGGCCGCTGGTATGAGATAGGGCTCCACAGGCAGTGGGCTCTCCTTTCAAACAACCAGCTGGCTTCCTCGTGATGGGATGGGGTCAGAGAAGGCAGAGAACAGAGGTCTTTTGCAAACCTTCCTTTACAAGAAAAAGAGTCTACGGGTGGTGAGTGGAGGGGGGATTGTGACTGAAACCTTCAAAATAACAGTTTTCGGCATCTCAGGGTAGAGAAGGGAATATAAGCCAAGCATGAGATAGAAGTGGATGAGGGGACAACGTAACCAATAGAGCCCCACATACCCAACTCCTCATCTCCAAGGCCACGTGCTGAGCACAGCAAACAGCTCCTGCGGCAGGCCGGGACTCACAGGAAGCCACCGTGAAGCCTTCCCAGCAAGCTACAGTCATGCCTTCCAGTGCCTTCTGTCCTGCCCCAAGTTGGCTAAGCTGGCTGTCTGGCTACTAAAGGGCACCGCCATCTTGACTTCTGGACACAGCTCAGCACACGCTCCTGGTGCTCCCATGCCTCCAGGCCCCAGCAGGGCAGGAAATGTCACCTCACCGGGACCCAGGGATAAGCATTTTCCTGGAGTTATGTCCTGGCTATGGGCGGAGCTTCAACTAGAACGTAGGCACCTCGATCCCTACTCCGGCCAGAGCCCTTTCCAAAGGTTGCTGTGGACACCGTGTGACCTGTGGCTGAAGGCGAACCCACACTGAAATTCTACCTCAAAACATTCTCAGCAGGAGAGAGAGCAATGGTGTGTCTGGATATGGCTCTTTTCTCTCCCACCCGCAGCCCCCAGCTCTGCCCAGTCTGCCCTCCATCACTCCCAGTGCCACCTCTGGCATCAGGCCCACGAGACTCTGAGGGGTAGATGCAACAGGTGAGAGCCATGAGAAGGGAGGGGAGCCCTCGGGAGGCGTTATCCCACGAGGCCAGCACCCAGGAGACGAGCGTTTGGTGAGCTTGGTCCAGGCTGGGGAGAGGGGAGCCAACTTTTAGGTGACTTTTTCATGAAAATAACTAAATAGGATTTGGCTATTTTCTCTGTCAAGCTGGAAATACTCTCTGGGAACAAATAAATAGGGGGAAATAGGGGCAGGCTTCTTGACGTTTTTGGTTCTGGCCCTTTAAGCACCTTGGGAATCTAAATGCCCCGAGGAAACAAAGATCCGTGAAGGTTTGGCTGTCTCTAGCAAAGTTTTAGGTCACAACATATGGTTATAAAATCCTTCATTATTCATATTTGCTGACTATTCCTCAATTAAATTTTGACCAAAATTTTTTTAATTGCCCGTTCGTGGTTTTCATTACCATCCTTCTGAATCTCCAGGTGCTCCAGGGCAGAGACTGCCTCTGGTTCATGGTCTTCCCCACGGCCTGCTCCAGGGGCAGTCCCGAGGACCACAGCCCCTCCTAAGCAGGCCACAAATGCACATCACCAAGCGTTGGACCACAGGACCCAGATCCCTGGCCCTGGCCACCGACACGAGGCAGGAGGTGTGCAAACCCAAGGTGGGTTACGGGAAGAGGCCTGGGCCATTGGCCAGAGCCACTGGAGGGTTCCTCGTTCTTGGGGAGTTCAGAGGGGAGGGGGCAGACAGGGCCATGGCACAGAAAGATGAGGTGAAGGTCCAGAGGGCACAGTGTACAGGAGCCAGGAGGAGGAGCAAGCAGGCAGGGTCGAGGAAGTCAAGGCATGGACAGAGCCACTGCTCCAGGAGTGACCAATGGCCCGTTCTGGAGGCCTGGTGTGGCCTCCAGGAGCAGTCTCCTATGATGGCTTTTACTCCCTGCCCTGTGAGCCATCTGTGCCCTGACCCACTGGGCTGCGGGGTGGGGGGAGGCAGGAGGAGTAGCGTATGCTACAGGGACAGGGAAGGCCGAACACAGCAACCCCATCACCGTCCTTCGACCTCTCTGAACCTTTGTTACCTTGTCTGTAAAGTGGGGACACATCACCTACCTTCACGCTCAGGCTCGCCTGCAGGGTTGAGGGGCTGAAATGAGCCCAGTGCCAGACCCTTGGTGGCCCCACAGAGAGTGGCTCAGGGATCTAGGGAGGGGCGCTCACAGCAGGGCCAGCCCCCACCCCGTTCACACACACCCCTTCGGTCAGGGGAGAGACTCCTTACAGGGGGATGATCCTCATGGGGAGGTGGAAGCGCAGGCGGTACTGGCTTGTCCTCATCATCTCCTTTCTCTGGAACTCACGCATCACGTAATCCACGTACTTCTGCTGCCTCGGGAAGAAACGAAGGCAGGACAGCGCTGGCCAAACGCTCGGCGTACTGGGCTTCGGGAACCCACACCCGGCTTCCGGTTCCTCCCCCATCTTTACCAGCCCCTTCCAAGGGGCTCTGGTTGATGCTTCCCGAGGGTGGCCAAGGAGAGTAGCCAAGCCAACTGAGCTGTTCTGGAATCTGGGACGTGTGAAGGGCCTATTAGTAGGTACATAGCAGCACCTCCCTCCTTAATGAGGTCCTGTAATGCTAAATGTATCTCCGCATCACCCCCATGTTCAGCATCCTGTTTGAATCTCTTTATTCATCCCCACTTTATGGATAATGAGACTGAGGCTCCTAACAGTAGAGATGAATTGTCTCAGCTCATATAAGAAGTTAACAGCAACGGAAGACCCCAAAGCCAGGTCACTAGGGCAATTCTAGAATCTATTAACCAGCCTCATGAAAGCCAAAGTAGGCCACCATACACCATACACTATACAAGAAAGAGGGAGTTATTAAGAAAGATAATGGTGTAGATAGCAGAGAATTCTGGAAACACATTTATTGTAGGATATTAAGAGAAATGAAAAAACCAACACAAAAATCAAAAATTTTGATCAAAAACCAACCAGAATGTACACATAAGCCAAGGGGGAGGGATGACAGAGCAGTTAAGCCACGACTCCTGAAGCAGGGGCCCCTTCCTCACCCAGGTGATGGAGCCATTACAGTCTGTGTCCACCTTCAAAAACAGCGCCTCCAGCATCTCATCCGACACACTGCTCAGAATCTTCTTCGTGGCCTTAATGAAAGCCTTCACGCCCAGGGCTTCAAAAGAGAAGAAAGAACATCATCCACTGCACAGCTAGTCACTGGCCCCGTCAGCAGCCGCGGCGGTATCCTGGGTGTCTGGGCGCTGAGGGAGGGGCACACGGAGAATCCTGTTTGCGGGCTTGTCTTCTGCATCCCACGTGTTCAGCATTCAGCCAGCCCACAGACAGTGGCCACACACCTTCCTTGCCAGAGCACTGTGATGGCCCCACAGCACCACTCTGTGAGAAAAGATCAGATCCCAGTTCTGAACAAGTAAGACGGGCCAGGCACTGAGACAAAGGAAACAGATGAAAACTCAAAAAAAAAAAAAAAAAGAAAGAAAGAAAGAAAGAAAGAAAGAAAGAAAGAAAGAAAAGAACAGAACTCATAATGGCAACAAAGAAACATAAGTTAATTCAAATACACAGAGGGAGAGGTGAAGTCTTTTAAAGGCAGATAAAACGCAAACTTTGGCTGGAGGGCAAGATGGGGAGAGGAGGGGAGCAGACGGGAGGGATAAAATGTTCTCCCCCTGCTGGATTTTGTGACTATAAGGGAATCTGGCTGCCTATGGGCCAATATCACTGCCTAGATTTTCTTTCTTTTTTTTTTTTTTTTTATAGTCACAGTCTATAAAAAGTGCTTCTAAAGTCCCCAACAAGTATCTGGAATCCTCGCCAGAGCATGAAGGCTGTGCATTTTCTGGCTCCTCTCAGACCTCACCTCCCACTGCTGTCTCCTTCATTCTCGACTCCAACCATAATGTCCCCAGGCCATTTCTCACACCACCTAGTGTACTCCCACCTCAAGGCCTTTATACCATCTGGTCCCCTCCACAGGGAAGCCTTCCTGGGTACTATCTAGGGAGGCCCCCACCCCCATCACCCGGCTTCACTGTCCCTCCCCCGCCATGACCTTCTTTGTTACCACCCTAGGCCACGGGCTCTGTGAGGGCAGGGGGAACCTGTGCCCTCTGTGACTGCTTGGCCAACAGCAGATGCTTGTTCCCCAGGTGTTGCTGTTGACCCTGGGATGTGCACTCGATGATACTGGGTGCTTCTCTGTGTTTATTCACACTGACCATTTAATGAGAGGGGCTCGTGAGGAAACCGTGGCACGCCGTGGTGAGCTCATGTGCCCAAGGTCACGGGGTGGTGCCCAGGGCTGGCCCCGGCAATCTGGTCCTTCTGTGTGCAGATTGGGCATCCGTCAGAGGGCAGTCCGTAACACAGAGCCTTCCACATGGGAGGGAGCCGGGGACCAGAGAGCCTTTGTGCAGTGTTGAGTGAACAAATGCCCCTTGAGAGCACCACAGGGGCCAGCCCCTCTCTCAGGTGTCTAAGAAGCCGTATATATTGGTCCCCACCAAGTTATTTTATTTTATTTTTTATTTTTATTTTTTCTTTAATGTTTATTTATTTTTGAGAGAGAGAGAGAGTGAACAGGGGAGGAGCAGAGAGAGAGGGAGACAGAATCAGAAGCAGGCTCCAGGCTCTGGGCTGTCAGCACAGAGCCCGATTTGGGGCTTGAACTCATAAGCCATGAGATCATGAGCTGAGCTGAAGTCTGACACTTAACCGACTGAGCCACCCAGGCGCACCCCCCCCCCCCAACACCAAGTCATTTTAATACACTTCTTATAAACAGTTTACCAGACAGTTTTTTGAGAATAACAATAGACGCAAAGATACTCTGGAAAGGAAACGTACACTGTGGGGTCCAGGCAGGGCCCCCTTTCCCCTCTAAAAAACAGCTCTCACCCACCTCAAGCCTCATGGTTAATTAATCGGTCAAAACTTGCATGTGAAAATACCATTTCCCTGGGGAGGAGGGTCACCACTAGAAATCAGGCAGGACACTTTGTGGGGGGCAGAAAATGTTCCATAGCTTGATCTGGGTGGTAGTTACGTGAATGCATGCACATGAAGGACTCCTTGAGCTGGATGGACCCTAAGACCCGTGCATTCTGTGGCAAGTAAACTACACCTCAGTGTAAAGATGCATGTATTTCACTTCTGAACTGCACTCTGTGAACTCTCTCACCACCCTTCCCTGCGCCTCCAACCTTAGCCAGCTCTTCCCCCTTGCCACCCCTTCCAGCTCAGAAGACGAGGGGGTGTTATGACAGCCAACTCTCCCCAACCTGGGTGGTCCTGGGACCTTTCCTCGGGGAGGGTCCACCCTCGCTCCCACCCTCCCAACTTACACCTGTGCCCCACTGGCACGTTCTCTCCAGCGCCCAGCACTGGACACCCCCTCTATCCACCACTTCCTGACTTGTACCCACTCACTCTCCTGAGCCACCAGTGACCTTGGAGCACACCTGATGGGGCCCTTCCTTGCCTTAGGGGCCTCCTGCCTTCAAGCAGTGACCCCACTGGTCACTCTCGTCTCCTCCAGGCTCCACTGTCTGCCCTGCCCTGTCATTTGGCATCTGCCTCCGCTCTTCTCATCACTGTCCCCTTGCTTTTCTGACACTCTCCAGTGACCTCACCTATTCACCCATCTCTGCATCTCAGGAGAGAATGTCTCTCCCATGTCTCTGACTCTCTTCCCAAGTGTCCCCCTGACCCGTTCAACTCAGCATGTTTAAAATGCAGTTTAAGGGCGCCTGGGTGGCTCAGTCAGTTAAGCATCCAACTTCGGCTCAGGTCATGATCTCATGGTTCATGAGTTCAGGCTCTGTGAGGACAACTCAGAGCCTGAAGCCTGCTTCGGATTCTGTGTCTCCCTCTCTCTCTGCCCCTCCCCACTCGTGCTCTAACTCTGTCTCTCAAAAATAAATGTTAAAAAAAGAATTTTAATAAATAAATAAAATAATAAAAAATCCAGTTTATTATCTTTATCCCAACACACTCTCGCCTTTCCTATGTTTGCCATCTTTGCTAATGACGTCACCTCTGGCTAGTTACCCGGGATGGAGACTCGAGAGGGGCACGCAGCGCCCTCCCTCCTGAATCCTCACAAGAATCCCATGGTAGGTACTGACATTCTCCCCATCTTGCAGGTGAGGACACAGAGGCACAGAGACATTCTGGGTTTACTCAAGAACACATAATGGCGCTGGGAGGATGTGAAACCAAAAGCCTTCCCTCACCTCCATCGTAATGTCCACTACCTTCTGTAGGGTGGTCATGGGAGGAGCCAATCCCCTGCCTCCCACGTCCCTCCGAGTCGCTGGCAGAGACTCTTGTCCTTCTCCAGCAGCTCCAGATGTGTCACCTCCCCGTCAGATCGCTGCTGGGGCTCAGGGCCCCTCCTGACCTGAGTGCACCCATGTCCTCTGTGGCTGCCTCCCTCCCAGCCTTGCCCCCAGGACACCCCTCACTGCCCCCCAGCACAGCAACACCCCTACACCTCTCCTCCACCGTTCCCTGCTGAGAACTGCCCTCCCCCCCATCTCCTGGGAAACTCCCACTTGACCTTTCTCTTTCTTTTTTTATAATGCCAGAGGCAGGATTATGAACTGTTTACCTCTATTTTTTTTATATATTCGTAAGCATTTTTAAAAATAAATGCTGGGGGGCACCTGGGTGGCGCAGTCGGTTGAGCGTCCGACTTCAGCCAGGTCACGATCTCGCGGTCCGCGAGTTCGAGCCCCGCGTCAGGCTCTGGGCTGATGGCTCAGAGCCTGGAGCCTGTTTCCGATTCTGTGTCTCCCTCTCTCTCTGCCCCTCCCCCGTTCATGCTCTGTCTCTCTCTGTCCCAAAAATAAATAAAAACGTTGAAAAAAAAATTTTTAAAAATAAAAAAAAATAAATAAAAATAAAAAAATAAAAATAAATGCTGTATTTAAAATATTTAAGAAAATGTCTTCTAGCCTCCCCTCTGCTGTGCAGGGGGGGAGTACGTATGTGCCCCACAGTGCTTGCATTCCTGGAACACAGTCACCAAGCACGAGCACTGCACAGTCATACCCCCTGGCTCTCCTGGGAAAGGGACTTCCTTCACTTACTTTGGTATCTGAAGTGCTACACTCAGTGTGGGGTGCCCACGGGAGCAGTTTCCATGTCAGGGCACCCAGGCCACTGCATTTGGGCCTGTCATCAGTGTCTGGCCCCTCCTGTGTAAAGTCATAAGGAAAGTCACAGGGTTTCGTGACAACTGAATCAAATCTGACAGGTGGCCGGGTAACCCAGGTAGCTCTGTACCAACACTAATTCTTTTTTTTTAAGTATTCTTTTAGGGGCGCCTGGGTGGCTCAGCCAGTTAAACGTCTGACTTCGGCTCAGGTCATGATCTCACAGTTCACGAGTTTGAGCCTCGTGTTCGGCTCACTGCTGTCAGTGCAGAGCCCACGTTGGTTCCTCTGTCTCCCTCTCCCTCTCCCTCTCCCTCTCCCTCTCCCTCTCTCTCTCTCTCTCTCTCTCTCTCTCTGCCCCTCCCCCACTCGTGTGTACCCACATGTGCTCTCTCTAAAATAAACTTTAAAAAAAAAACAACACATTTTTAAAATTTATTTTTTAAAGTAATCTCTACACCCAACATGGGACTTGAACTCACAACCCAAGATCAAGAGTTGCACCCTCTACTGACTGAGCCAGCCAGGACCCCTCAACACCAATTCTTACCGTGCCTGGCAGCGCTTGATGAAATGTCTGTTGGCGAAAGTGGAGGCACACTCAGCTTGTGTGCCACCCATGTCCCCCCAGGAGCACCTGTATGCAAGGTCAGTGCCACACCGGCTCACAGGCTCGGGGCTGCAGGACCGCCAGCTCAATGGCTCTCCCTCAGTCCCCACCCCCAGCAGCCCGCAGGCTCCCCCAGGCAGGCCCCAGAGGCGAGGGTCAAGGGCACATGGACACTCTGAAGACCTCCTGGGAGATGCATGGGACTCCCCCTTAAGAACCACGGACCTTCAGGGCGCCTGGCTGGCTCAGCCATGGAGTGTGCAACTCTTGGTCTCACGGTTGTGAGTTCAAGCCCCACATTGGGTATGGGGATTACTTAAAAACAAAATCTTAAAAATAAATACATAAATAAAAGAACCACCAACCCTTCTCAAAGACCTCCAATCAACAAATAATAAAAAAACTAAGGCCCCGAAAGGGAACCTGCAGAACAGAGACCAGAACCTCAGTATCTCCCCTTTTCCCTCTGACACAGTCACTTATGTTTAGGGTTCCTAAGAAAGGCTTTGGAGCCCTTGTTTATAATCCACCTTTTTAAAAGACTTTTGAAGGAGAAAAATGATCTTATTTTCTTTTACCCTATATCAACAAAAGGTGAATTTCCTTTCCTCCATTTAAAACGTGGCCATTTTTGTTTTGTTTTGTTTTTTTTATGCAGAAGTTCTTTTTACACTGATATGAAAAGATTTCAAGACACATTAGGTAAAAAGCAATTTTATAAATTTTTTATAAACTTTATAAAAGTTATTTTTTTAAAAAAAGCAGGAGTAGACAATTGGGGAGATCCTTTCTCAATACATACAGATATCGAATCAGCATGGTGTGCACTTCAAATATATTAAATTTATGTCAACTATAGCTCAATAAAGCTGAAATTTAAAAAAGCAAGGCGTAGAACAGCATGGACAATAGGCTGCCACTGCATAAAACAGCGGGGGAGTGACTACCTGAACTTCTGGGCCTCCATCGGTCACAGGAAACCGAGAGCAGTAACCAACTGAGGGAACAGAACTGGGCAGCTGAGGGCCGGGCCCAGGGTATCATGGGAAAAGCACCTTTTGACCTGTGAACTGCATGGATATATTGCCTGCTCAAGACAAACACAAACACAATAAAAATCGTGACCAAAGTTGGCATCCTCGGGGTCCTCCAGGCACAGTGGTGGCAACTCCCAGCTGCCAAACACGGACACCAAAGAGCTCCAATGAGGAACCATGTCATCTTCAGGGCAGACACTCACCATCCCGCCCTGCCCCTCACTTTTTGTTCATTTGTACACTGGGCGTTTGTTACCCTTTCCCGCCCACATCGCGGTATGGCTGTAAAACTCAAGTTGACGGGGCAAGGAGCTATGCCCCCAGAGTTGGTACTCAGAGTCTAGTGGATATGAACAAAGATGCCCTTAAGTATTCCTATTATTGACCTTGATGCGTATCATCCCAAGGAGAAAAATGAAGCTCCAAAGAGAGAAAAAGTTTGATGCACAAAGGATGTTCTTAACAATGTTATGTAAATTCAATGAAACCTAAATGTCCAACTACAGGGGAATGGCTTAGTCCCCAGTAGAACATGTGTATTCATTAGTAATGATGGTTTGGAAGACGACACAGCAGTATGTAAAAGCCCTTAAGGTGTTACACACTAAGAGAAAAACAGGGGTCTGAAGTTACATAGTGGTATAATTACAGACACGTGAAAGCACATGTAGCCATCTGTGGCAGAGATACTTAAGGTGACCCCAGGATGCCCACCTCCCGGTGTTCATGCCCTCCCGTGATCCTCTCGAGTAAGACAGTCCCGTGACTCACTGCCAACCAACAGAATATGGCAGAGGTGACAGATGTACGGGGCTATGTGTACACGACTGCACACTGACAAGACCGTAGCACGCATCTTGCTGGAGTTGTGAGCTCCCTGGCTACCCTGAGCCTTGAAATCTGCTGTGTCGGTGAGTCCCACACGGCCAGGAATAGAGGGCAGCTGTAGGAGCTGAAAGCAGTTGCCGGCCAATAGCCTGGAAGAAACAGAAGCCCTCGGTTCTGCAGCTGCAAAGAACTGAATCCTGCCAACAACGTGAGTGAACTGGGAAGCGGATCCTTTCCCCGTCAAGCCCCAGATGATACCACAGCCCCAGGCTAGTGAGCAGAGGAGCCAGCAAAGCCATGCCCAGACTCCTGACCCACCGAAACTGTGAGACAATAAACGCGTGGTTTACACCTCTCGGTTTGTGGGAATACTGTTACACAGCAATAAAAAATAAACCATACATGTGAAACTGTTTGGAAGAAAATACACCAAAATGCTGACAGTTGGTTACATTTGGGTGCTTGGATTGGGGGTATTTTTTTTTTTTTCTAGATACGAAATAGCCTCCAATGTGCTTATAATACTTACATAATGACAAGGTTTTAAAGGAGTCACTGAATGCAAAAACTGCTTGTCAAATCTGAACCCTCCACACACCCAGGTATGGGTCCCACCCTGTGCAAAAACCAGAGACTGAGTCCACAAGGCGGCTTTACCTCCGGTTGAGTCAACATCCTCCTCAAACACCTTCTCCATCTTGGCCATGGGTAGCTGGGTAAACAGTTGAGACTCACGTTGGCTAAGAGTGATGGATGACGCTGGGGAGCTACGAACCTCCTCGCTCTTCTGGAATCCACCTGGGGTGGGTGTCTGGAACAAACATGACTACAAGAACCAGGGACTGAGAAGGTTGATCTCCTGAGCTGAACATTTCTAAGCACATCATATTGAAAGAGAGACTCTGGGGAAGGACAGGGTATGAAGGGTTATAGTGAGGCCGTCAAATAAATCCTAACCACTTTAGACCTAAGAAGACCAAGAAAGATCTAGATTGCCTCTCCTGACTTTGGGGAGTTCACTACTGTTTCCGTTTTGCAGATGCCATGACTGAGGCTCGGCGGGGTTAGTGGACAGAGCCAGGTCCGTCACTTCACTCATACCAGGACTCCAATTTGTAACGCTTCTGTTCAGTGACTATATTGTTTCAATCTTCAGTGCTCAGAATTCAAGACCTCGAAGAATCCAGCCGCATCTGCCCCAGCCAATTTGATTTGGTCCTGAGCATCCCAGACACCTGCCTGGGTCAGGGTCAGATCAGATCGTCTGCACGCACACCAGGGCTCTAGCAGACACCCCTGATGGGGGGCCTTCAGCTTCCTCCTCCCACTTGCTTCCCCAAGTCCCCACATAGCTGATGCCACCCCTTCAGTCCTCAACAATGAATGCCTCTTCTCTGCAGGACTCATTTTGACAAGCTAGCACAATGCTTCAGGTCACAAAAGGCTTAGGTCATCAAAGGCCGTTTCCCCCAAAAGACTCCAAGAGTGGACAATTAACCGCTGAGTGTATGTTGTTCACTGAAATGCACTGTTTTGGGTCTTGGGCTTTCAAGAAGCCTGGTTTGGTTCAAAAAGCCAAAAGACAAGGTGTAAATTAGATGGCTCATTCTCCCTACACCAACCCTACCAAACGAGCAAACGTGCTCATCCTCCTGTGTAATTCCATTCATTCCCTCATGGTCTACACACATTTGTTGAGTGCCAGGCACCTGGATACACGAGCAAACAGAGTAAAAGACCTGTTTTCGTGGAGCCCAACCAATGAGCTCGTTAATACTCCTACAGCCACACAGGCCCTATATTAGATATCTCAGCACTATCTTTGGCTTGTCCCTTCTCCTATACGTTCGTACTGTCCCCCGTTCTTACTGTGATTCTTCTCCTACACCTAAGTCCTCCTCCCCCACATCCCTGGCTTATCCCAGACACTGGCCTTGTGCTGGGACAAGTACAATGATGTCCCCTAACTGGGACAAGAGTTTGGCCTTCCTTTCCAATCCACCTGCCAACACTGGCATCAGTCGTCTTTCTGGAAGGCAGAGCTGATTATGACTTTACTCCTGGCTCTGACACTTTCCAGGCAACCACCACCACCACCCTCTGCTGAGTGTGCCATTCAAAGCCCTTTGCATTGTAGCCCTGACCGGTCTTTCTAGTTTCGATGCACACACCATGGTCCAGGCACACCAATTGCTCCCCACCATCCCCAGACAACAAACAATCTACTTTTACTCACATGTTCCCTCTATGCAACGCAGACCATCTCCCCTGGATATGAACTCCTACTCATTGTTCAAAGCCTGGCTCAAATGACACCTCTTCCAAGGAGTTTTTCCACAGCTTTCAGGTGACATTCATCACTGCCACCTCCACGCTCCCAAACTGTTCCTCTCTGCCATGCATGCATGATGTTTGCATGTCTGTCTGACCATGCAGACAGCAAGGTGTGATGGGAAACACACGGCTGTAGCGTCCCAGAGCTCTGGGTTCAAATTCTGCCTGACTCTCCACTTCCCAGCTAATTTATCTCAGGCAGATCACATCACTTCTCTGAGCCACACACCTCTCATCAGCAAAACGGATCTGCAGTGCCCAACGTGCAGGGCTGTGGTGAGATCTAAACGGCCCCCAAACGTCTTGGAAGGCTCAGCAAACTGTAGTTACACAAGAAATGACAGCTCCTATTATTACTCCTGTCTCACAGTGAGCTCTTTGAAGGCAAGGGCCTATTTAATTTATCTTAATTTAATCTTAATTCGTACTAATTATCTCCCTATTCCCCAGCCCCAAGCATACAATAGATGCTAAATACTTATCTGGCTTGATAGTAATTTGTACGGCCTATTCCACCGTTGCCACAACTTGGCTGGACAAAAGGAAGGATAGTCCATATAGAGCCTGAATTGGTAGCCTCAGATCTGTTGCATTTGGCCAATACAACCCTTTTAAAAGGGAAAACAAGCCTGCAGCAGTGGCCAGGTAAGTTACCTACATGGCCTTGTGAATATCGGAGTTTGCTACCCTGGTGCCGAGATGGGTAACTGGTAGACCTCTGTGCTGATGAGCAATGTCTGGGCGGTTCTGGAACACCCCTCCCCTTTATCAACCTCTGATGGTCTTCTTACCTTTTGAGACTGAGAGTTCTCTCTTAAGTCCTCAGAAGACACTGGCTTTGACCTAGAATAAGGAATCATGGTCACTTTAACTTTGTAAGACGATGTGGGGGGCTGACCTAGCCAGGTCACAAGAGGGTGGAAAAGGAGTCAGGGCCAGGGTGGAAGGTGCTGCCCTGTACCCATAGACACCCCCAGCACACATTTGGTGAGCATCCCTTTCCCCACGGGAGCTTCTCCGGCAGGAAGCTGTTCCCAAGCTTATGCCTGCAAGCTTTCTTTCCCCTGATGGGAATGAGTCATCTTATTGAAGCTCTACGGTTTCCCAAGTGAGTGCCAGAGGGTTTCTAAAGCAGGCCACACTTTCCAGAGGGAGAAGGGGTTGGGAGGCCTGCAGTTAGACCATGTAGACTAACTACAATTCACATGTCAGGAAGATAAGCTCCAGGGATGGGCATCTGTCCAAAGGGTCAAACATGCTCTGGAGGTAGGGAGGGATTAGGATGGCCCCGCTTGCCACTGCATGTACCCCCCGTCCCCCATCTGCCCTCCAGTATGCCTGGAGACAGGACTTCTTTGGGAGAATGGACAGAACTCTCCTCACTGCAACATGGGCTCACACGAGCGTGTGGGTGCAGTCCAGTCCAGAGTTCCGCTCCGAAAATATGAAGGGCATATTTCCACAGGGTCAGTGGCTCCTCCATGTATGATGGGAGAGAGCACTTTGTTAGGATTATTAGAGTGTCAGTCTGCCTCGCCAGCTAGACTCGAAGAGCACTTTAGGATGGCAGGGGAATGAACGGCCAGGAAAGAGTCAAGCCGCAGACATGCTCAGGGGACACAGCTCAAGAGCCAGCCTGGCTTGACAAAGGGCTCTGGGGGCTGAGGGGAAGGGAGGCATAGTGGGAGGGAAGAGAGAAAAGAAAAATGGAAGCAGAATGCAGAACCTGCAGTATTTCACCAGGGAGTCTGAGCAGGATGAGGGGCAATTGTGGAAATTCATCAGCGTACGTGGAGGGAAGATTGAAGACTGGCCAACAGAGTCCCAACCTAAACTGTGTTGGCGACAACTCAGATTTAAAAACCAAAGGAGAGATAACAGCCAAAGGAAAGGAGATGTGGAAGCCAAGAACCAGGGTAACTGAGGGAAATGCCAGGAACATTTCCAGGAAAGGAAGCAAGTAGGGAAAGTGGCTTCATGCCAATGACGTTGGGCTGTCCAATTAGAAATGAAAAGCAAATACCTGGAGATATGAGGCCTGAAACTGAGAATCGGCTACACTTAAGGGATAGAAAGAGGAGGGGAAACACACAAAAGACAGGAGGAAGGGATGCCACAGACGGGACCAAGATGGTAAGAAAAAGACAAGGCCACTGAACAGGGCCATTTAAAGGTCACCAAGGAAAAAAGCTGCAGAAGTGTATTTAGAAGTCCACTTCTGTCAAGAATATTAGGTATGTATATGTTGGCACATGCACAGAAAGAGAGCCTGGAAAAATATACTCCAAATTTAATGGTGGTCATCTCTGGCAGGTGGGTTATGGACGATTTCTGTAGTCTAAATCATGCATTTCTCTATTTTTAATTCAAAAAATTTCACAGCAATCTTTAGGATTTATTGCAGTGGAGTGGGTCAAGTGGTGGATAGTGATTTACGTGACTCATCTGTGAAAGACCACTGGAGTGGAGTAGGAGTGGTTGCTGCAGCATTTCTGATAGTGACAAAAAAATAAGGTGAATGGCTATGGAAGAGGCATGGCTGAGTAAATCCATACACCTGCGCTCAGAACATCCCCAACGTACTCACAAGGATGAATCTGGCCTTCAGCAGACAACCAGCAGGGATTTCCATGAGGTACTAATAAGTAAGATGCAAAAAACAGAACACACAATGCCACTTTTTATAAAAGAATGACAAATAGGTATGTATTTACACATACAAGAACACGTGTTGATGTATATACACACATTTGTAAACAACTACCCTTAACAGTTATGGGACCGAGGACAAAAGAACAAATATAGGTCCACATAGCAAGTCTTTTTAAGTGCTTATAAATCAAGTTACTGTACTACCTTCATAACAACCTGGCAAACCTGGTTCAAATTTAGAATTCTTCCTCAAGAAACTAAAAATAGAACTACCCTACAACCCAGCAATTGTACTATTAGGTGTTTACCCAAAGGATACAAAAATATAGATTCAAAGAGATACATGCACCCTAATGTTTATAGCAGCATTATCAACAATAACCAAACTATGGAGAGAGCCCAAATGTCCATTCACTGATGAATAAAGATGTGTGTGTGTGTATATATATATTTATAGATATACATACATACATACAACAGAATATTACTCAGCCATCAAAAAGAATGAAATCTTACCATTTGCAATGACATGAATGGAGCTAGAATGTATCATGCTAAGTAAAATAAGTCAATCAGAGAAAGACAAATACCATATGGTAACATTCATATCTGGAATTAAAGAAACAAGACAGACCAACATATGGGAAGGGGGAGAGAAGAGAGGGAAACAAACCACAAGAGACTCTTAATGATAGAGAACAAACTATGGGTTGAGAGGGAGGTGGGTGGGAGATGGGCTAGATGGATGACGGGCATTAAGGAGAGCATTTGTTGTGATGATGAGCATGGGGTGTTGTATGTAAGTGATGAATCACTGAATTCTACTCCTGAAACCAAAATTGCACTGTATGTTAACTAAAATTTAAATTAAAAAAAAAAAAATTAGAATTCTTTAACTCCTCAGCTAAGTGCCAGAATTTGGCCATGTGGAGACAGTCAGCCTCCAAGACCTCTGTGCACCTGCCATGCCCAACCCATCCTGACAAGGGGCTTCTGCATGGTGGCATGTGGGACGGACACCTCACCACTACTGCTCCACAGTTACCTTAAACCTAGGGGGCTGCCTTCAAAAGTGATGCACTGGGGAACAGGCCCACAAAGAATCAGATTCAAAGCACTTTGGGCAGAGAATTCCAGTATTTAGAGCTAGGGGGCTGGGGGGGGCTCTAAGGGCCATGAATAGGTCCACTCGTAAAATGTGAACATTTGAAATCTGAACACTATCTATATTCTTAGATAATGATGAAGTTAATGTTGTTTCCTGCTTTTGACTACTGTACTATGGTTATAAAAGAGAATGTCCTTGTTCTTCGGAACTACACATTTGAGTATAGTATAAGGGGCACAGTGTAATTTATTCTCAAATGTTCAACAAACATATACAATGATAAAGCAAAATGTTCACAGTCTGGACAAAGGGGGAGTTCTTGATACCATTCTTCTAACTATTTAAATATTTTTAATTATTTCAAATTACTAAAAGTTTCATTAAGAGAAAAGTATGTGTCTGACCAAAACACACTGTTCTGTTTATGTCTGTGGACGGAAACAAGGGAAAAACACTGGTTGAAGGCAAGAGACCTCGAAGAGAAAAGGTCAAGGGTAAGACTAAGAAGCAGAGAGAAGTACTAGTCCTCTAATACTGGAGGAAGAAAAATCGAGATGGAGAATTTTCTATTTGGAATTAGAGAACAGCTATGATCAGGAAAAGCTATCCCCACAACTACGCCCTCACAGTTACCTGTTCCAGGGCAAGTGGCGGGGTGGGGCACGGCACACGCCTGGAAACGAAGAGAGGATGGAGTAGCCACCAGGGGAGGGAAGGGAAGAGAAACATTGGTTTGCTGAATTCGTTTTTAATTCATAGGGGCAGAGGCACCTGGGCAGCTCAGCCAGTTGGGTTGAGTGTCTGACTCTTAATTTCTGCTTAGGTCATGATCCCAGGGTTGTGGGATTAAGCCCTGCATCAGGCTCCACATCGAGCATGGAGCCTGTTTGGGATTCTCTCTCTCTCCCTCTGTCCCTTTCCCCTGCTCATGCTCTACAAAAAAAAAAAAAAAGTTTCAAAAAAAAAAAAAAAAAATCATAGGGGCAGATGACTTAAGGCCAAAAGCAGTTACAGCTGCCCTGGAAACAGCTAGGAGATGCCCTCTTGTTCAGCTTTCAGTTGCTGACAAACGCATCTTAGGGCCCAGGTGTCCAATCTTTGGGAGACAACTTCAGTCCCAAACCCTCACTCACCCTGACCCAATTTGTTCTCCCCAGGTAACCTTGCTGGCTATTTTTGACAGAGGTATATTGGTTTTCGACTTCCATTTCAACTGAGACATCTTGGCAGCTGTCCCCGAGTCCAAAGTACCTCCTCTATGAAGTCATCATGGAACTCCGAGGGCTTCCACCTGACTCCACCAGAGTCAGCTGGCCACGTTTAGAAAGAACCAGGAAGAGGAGACCATTCCATGTACAGAACACGAAATGGAACATCAGACTCCATCCCACAAACCATACCACACAGCCATCTGTCATCCAATGTGAGACATTCTTTTTATTGATAAAGTTGAACTTACAGCAATGACAGAAGCTACAGCACACACAGCCAGGACGAGCATGAGTACAAAATGACCCATAGGACATACACACAGGACAGTGCCCACCTGTCACAGAAACTGTGGAAAACGCCAGGGAGCCTGATGATCAAGCAGGATTCACCAAAACCAAAAGGCCAACTGACCCCCACAGTTGGGACACTGGAAGGCACAGCAGCTCTCTACGCTGTCCTCTGCATGAGCTCCAGTGCTTTGGAAAGAGGAAGGCCACAAGGGCATTGTGGATGGGGGTCCTTCAGTCAGCCTGAGGGAGGCCTGGACTAGATGCAGCAGTGTTCAATCTTGGTCCAGGGCACAACACAGCAGGGTGACTCGGCCAAAGGTAGATCTCGTGGGAAGATTCCACCCAGGGACATGGATGCCAGGTTTAAAGATACCCGGCTAAATCGCATTTCATTACCGAGATGTTACCAAAATGTTACTTTACCACCAAACAAGATCTTCTCCCGAGACCTACACCACAAAGATAACACCAACAGACAAAAAGTCTGCTCCCATTTCATCAATAATGGAAACACAATTTTGTCACAACGGAGAACATCAAAAGTAAAGTGGTTCAATGAAAGGTCATAAAAGGTGCACGAGGTCTTTAAAATCAGAGTTTTATTGAATTAGATATTAATAAACTAAAAGGATTTATTGAAGAAAAAAAAAAGAAAACATGGCTAATGCCCCCACATTTAACTGCTTCCCACTCATTTTGGGGGGAATTTTCATTTTCCAGTCCAATGTCCCATTTCTACTCACAGTAGCTCCTGCACTTACCAATGTTTCCATATGGGACTAAAATATGCTAAATTTTGTCATAATAAATATATTTCTCCTTCCCTGGGAAGAAACAGGAGAAAAATGGAGAAATATTAAGATGAATTTCTCTTTTTAGGTAAAGAAAGTTCAGAAAACTTCTACCTAAAAAGAGTAAAAATACGATCATCAGTAACTCAGGTTAAACAAAACAAAAGACCACACAAAACAAAGCAAAACCCAAAAAACCAAAAACAGAAATGGGAAGGAAGATGTTTAGAAGTAAAATCTTCTAGATCAATCTCTGCACAAAAACGAATTCTGGAAAAAGCTACCTGAGACTAGCTCGGGCATCCCCCGCCAATCCGAAGGAGACGGTGGTTCCCTACGGCAGAGATGCCAGGGTGCTGCCGAAAGGAGCAACTCCCGGGCCACCAGGGCTGCGGTGACGGACGCAAGAACCCGCTGCAGGGGTGGTACCTCTGCTCCACTGAGTATCGGTGTCAACACCGTCCTTCCAGCTCTACCACTGTAGAGCTTCAAGACATCAAAACCTGTGTCCTAATTATGTGTGTCAATTATTCCTCGACAGACTTTAAAACAAACAAAAACTTGTTTTCTTCTCTGCTTTATATAATTTGTCAACAATTTTCAGATACAACCTGATATCCAAGGAGAGAGGCTTTTCCTTTTCGAACGTGAATAAACGAGAGGGAAGTCAGTGACTGCTGGAACTGGAGGGGACCCTGAAGATTAGTATCAAGTTCAAGATCACACCTTAATTGAGGTCAACAACTCTACCCACTCGCATGACATTTAAAACCATGCTCTTCCTCTCCACACCAGTGCCAAACTCAGGTTCAAATGCCAGAGACTTCAAAGTACCATGATGCAAGAAAAAAGGCAGATTCTCAATGTGGTTCAGTAACTACTTACCCTCCTCCCCCAAAAAAGAAAAACACTCCTTAAAGACGGGGGGGGGGGGGGGCGGTGGAGAGAATATTAAGTCACAGAATTAGAACTTCTTAGGAAAATTGTTTTAATTATTTTTATTTCATTCGACATTATTTCTTCTCTCAGCCTTTAAAATTAATAGGGAGGGAGGTGCACACAGAAGCAAGCTGGGATAGCCTAGAGTTACCTGTAAAAAACACAGTTTATTCCATTCGACCATGCAGGATTTAAATTTCAAACTAAAAACAGCACTCATATATAATCATACTTTTTAACTCTCACATCATTTTGTAGAAAAACATAAAATACAAAAAAAAAAAAAAAAAAGGCGGATATTGGGTTAGAAACCTTTAGAATGCTAAAATCCAAACGACCGTGAGGTGTGACAGACCTTAAAACCACTAGAACTACTTCAAAATCTATCAACGGCCCCAATGCAAGAAATGCAAATACGAACACGATAAAACAACTGCCAAGACAGCGACAGAGGAAAGGAACCTGAAGGCAACTCATGCCCGACTAGGATGAGCCATGGCAGGTCCTGGGTGTGGGCTGTTTAGATTCTTGTACTACACAGGGCGATTCAGGGACAGGCACACAGCAGTCCCCTTTCATCCACGGTTCCCTCTCTGCAGCCCCCGCCACCCACAGTCAACTGCGCCCTCCTCCTGACATACCCCCAGAAGGTCAACAGTAGCCTAATGCTACGTCACAGCCTCTGCGTCGTCCCCCTGACTTCATTTCACCACGTGGGCAGTTCATCATCTCACATCGTCACCAGAAGGGTAAGTACGGTACACAAAGACACTCTGAGACCACATACCTTTAACTTTTATTACAGCATACTTTTCCAACTGTTCTATTACCAGTTGTTGCTAATCTCTTACTGTGCCTAGTTTGTAAATTATTCCATCACAAGTATACCTGTACAGGAAAAAAACATAGTATACATGGGGATCAGTACTAGCCACGGTTTCAGGCAGCCCCTGGGGTCTTGGAAATGCATCCTCTGAGGACAAGGAGGGACCTGCTGTATTACTGGCAAAGCTCTTCCTGCAGCTTGCAGTCAAACACGTGTTGTTGAACCACTTATTACTTCTGTCAAAGCTCCTTCTTTTAGAGTCAAAACTTGCATTAAAACACAGAAGTTGTACACTTTAGAATTTCATTGTCAGTGAGATTTTTTTCAAGATTTCACATGCTGAAGACATCCAGATGGTCAACAGGCACATGAAAAGATGCTCAACGTCGCTCCTCATCAGGGAAATACAAATCAATACCACACTCAGATACCACCTCACACCAGTCAGAGTGGCCAAAATGAGCAAATCAGGAGACTACAGATGCTGGAGAGGATGTGGAGAAACGGGAACCCTCTTGCACTGTTGGTGGGAATGCAAACTGGTGCAGCTGCTCTGGAAAACAGTGTGGAGGTTCCTCAAAAAATTAAAAATAGATCTACCCTATGTCCCAGCAATAGCACTGCTAGGAACTTACCCAAGGGATAAGGGAGTACTGATGCATAGGGGCACTTGTACCCCAATGTTTATAGCAGCACTCTCAACGATAGCCAAATTATGGGAAGAGCCTAAATGTCCATCAACTGATGAATGGATAAAGCAATTGTGGTTTATATACACAACGGAATACTACGTGGCAATGAGAAAGAATGAAATATGGCCTTTTGTAGCAACGTGAATGGAACTGGAAAGTATTATGCTAAGTGAAATAAGTCATACAGAGAAAGACAGATACCATATGTTTTCATTCTTATGTGGATCCTGAGAAACTTAATAGAAGGCCATGGGGAAGGAGAAGGAAAAAAAAAAAAGAGAAAGGGAGGGAGGGAGCCAAACCATAAGAGACTCTTGAAAACTGAGAACAATCTGAGGGTTGATGGGGGGTGGGAGGGGGG